AGAATGGTTCTCGTTTAATTTAATTTCTCTCGCGATCAAAACCGAAAATCCCCTTCCATGGTCTCATTTTGCTCCGAAACCATACGGAAACGCTTGCTACGCAGGCTAACGGATCTACAAACCAGATGGTTTGTCAGAACCTGCTTATTTATCCTTTGAATGACATCAGTGACAAACTGTTGTCTCAGTCGCTTGATATGGTTGGGTTGTGAGATTTACATCAAAAGTAAAATCGGTTCCTCACTATTTGTGCATAAAAAAAACTGTATATTGTTTATTTACACCAAAAATTTGACCTAGGGGAGAAAGAATGCTTACTTTCTTCTCCGTCTGTTAAAATCTAAATTTTCAGTAAAATCCACATGACGCCAATATTGCGACCATTTAAATAACGTCATCAGTCACCCAGCAGCAGTGCAGCACAAACTAAGGGCTTAATTAACCTTTTAAAGAAGGCTTTGGTCGTTCTCGTTTCATATGAAACAAAGCATAGTTTTCCTTCTGGACCCATTTAGCTTTTCGTTTAAGCTGCGAAATGTTGGAGGATAGATCTTCCCACGCCTTATACGTATAACAGACAAAAGCCGAACAAATGATTCGACCATGGATGAATTTTTATTTTTCTTTCCAATGGTGCTCCGCCTCGGGCGGTACTCAAGACCTCGGGCACAGTTTCTCCCAATACGGACTAACCTAGGCTGGTGAATAAAATTTTTCATTTTTTTCCGCTCTTGGAAGCAATCAGTTTGCAGCATTTGGAGGATTCCGCCCGCTCACAAGCTTGGAAAAAAGTAAATTAAGATATTCTTTAGTAGCTTTTAACAAATAGCTGGCGGAAAAATATTCAGATACAAAATAGCACAAACTAAATGGAGACAATGGAGGCTTATCGCTTTCGGCAATGTTAAGAAAGTTTTATAGCGCAAAGAATACAAAGGCCCTTTGCATGACGATTCTGCACTATTAACGGAAGAAAGTGTTGCCAATTAAACAAGCTTTGTTGACAGTAACCGGTCAAGTCGCGCGAATGTTATCTCGCCCGAAGTTATGTCGCCCGAAACCCTGAGAGTAAGTCGCCCGACTGAAATGCGTGAAGTGTCCAGAGAAACAAAGCTAATTTTTGTTAAATAAAGAGGGTGTGTTAATATATCTCGTTCGTTAAACCATCATGAGACGAAATAAGCGGAATGAATTTGTAACATGCCTCGTTCTTTAAGCGATGATGAGGCGAAACAAGTTAACTCAGTCCCTGGATTAACAACGAAACAAGTGCGATAAATGAGTAATATATCTCGTTCTAAAATCTTCGATCACAAGAAGCCAACGTGGCAAATGGTAACAGGGATTCTACCATATTGGTTAGCATGATGATAAAATTTTGAGCCACATAACTCAGCATTTGGGGCAGGACTTAACTTCGGCCGACTTGACCGTAAACCTAGCGTGTTAAATTGGAGAGTGTTGGATCAGGCTTGAAAATTTACTTCAAGCAAAAGCAACATTATTTTGTGGAATTTCTGTCACTTCGCTGCTTTCTCTCCTTTTCGCTTTAAAACAAAAAAAACGCTCTTTTTTAATAATTTTTTTTGTTACAAACTGCTGGCTGGGTGGAAAGGTAGACCTGGGAACAAGGTTGACTTCCGTTCGTTGGGACTGTATAATAACTAACTAGTTCGACATATACTTATTTTAATTAACGCGAAGTCAGGAGTTACAATGAACAGCTATTATTGCGTCATGCAATGTTATAGCCTAATTTTAGTCTTTCCTATTTCTGTTCCTTTTCATGCTATTTCAGAGAACATTTCACTACGATTCAGTGCTTTGGACAAACAAACAATCCTTTAACATTGACGGAGGAAAGACTGGGTTTGACGCAGCGGAGACCAAACTGCCTTCCTACTGGAACACATCCTTCTCTAAAATCTGTCTGGGTATGAACATCAGCCAGGAAGTACGCTTTGCTGTCATTGACAGGCAAGCAGACTCTTTGCATTCTCTGATTGCTGATGGGCAATACCGCAATACCTCACTGGGTCGTGACGCGTGGAAGGCATTGATTGGTTCGCAGGGCTCCTTGCAGAGGTACTGCGACAAAGAAGGATTCAACGCTTTGACGGGCGGTTCCTTGAATACCCAAGTACAAACAAGAATCGGTATCATTAGTAACAATTATGACCACTGCAGCAACTGTGATTCTAGAATAGGGTTTGGTGCAGGAGGAGACCCCGATCACAGCAATGTGTGTGGCAATGTCGCTGATGGGAGATATGATCCAGACAACGGTGGCAAAAATATAAAGGGAATCGGTTATATCTTGGTGCAGTGAAAAAAAGCTACTTACCCTGAAAGTCGAATTCATTCAATGCACTTTGGTAAATTAATTATTGAAAACTGAGTCGTAACCGTGTCAAAAACAAAATGCTCAAAATTTTAGTATTGCAACACCAAAACCGTGCGATTACCAGGAGCTTGCTACGGGACAGATCAAATCTGACAGTTTATTAAACAGCCAATGAAAATCGAGTTGGAAAATATTAGAAGCCAATAAAATTTAATTACATAGCCCACGATAACTAAACAACTTCAAGGGAAAAACTATGCAGCTTCAGCTTGAAAAGGAGAATGAACGAAATTATTAAACGGTCCAATGACTGTTGTTCAGATATTCTTTTTAGAATTTGACAGCTTCATTTAGAAAGCTTGAATAGTGAAAACGGTAAAGCTTCTGAGGTCTACGATGTTTTTGTTTTCAAAACTAGCTGTAACCTGATGTAATAAGAGCTTTGCACTTACTTTAATAAATATTCCAATACTAAGATTCTTGAATTTTATTTTTGACACAATTAATTGGTAATAGGACTGAGTGGAGCCAAGAGAGGATAAAGCATTAGCCTCTCTTGGCGTTATCTATTTACAGTGTATTTAGACCTATTTAGTTTGAAAACTATATATTTCGCGCATTCTTTGTAGCCAGAGTAGTGCTGACGGCTGATAGTGGTCCACGGTCCCGTTGATCGTTGAGAGCTTGAAATTTGAGCCACAATTTACTTATTCGCGTTCAGTTGCAGTACTTAGTAGTTAGATATTTTCATCGCCAATACAACGCAGGGGAACCCAACGACGGTTTCCTCCTAAATGCATTGAAAAATCTCTTTAGGCTATCCAGAGTACCTTTAGATCTCTAGAAATACATTCTAAGCGGCACTATAAAATTTGTATCTGTTCGGTCATCCTAGGGGAATTTGAGCCTTTTAGAAATTACAAGGGCTTCAGTGTTATTTTTTCCAAAAAATTTAGACGCGATTGAATGCTTTACGAAGATGAGAATTTTTCTTATTCCTCTCTCCATCACAAATTTGAATCTGAAAATTTTAGGTTTCCTTTTTCTACGAAAGTTAGCCTAACACAAGGAGTAAAATATGAAAAATTAAACTTCAGAAAATCGTAGAGAATTGTTTAGATAAGCATCGAAAATTGTACCTGAACGAAACGCCCATCTAGAAATTTTTAGCCGTACTGAAGCAATAGAAAATTCTAGGCAATATTTGCTTCTTCGAACAGATATTTTACAGAAAACAGTCGTTGGGTGCCCCTGATAACTGTCCAGGCAGCTTCAATTCCTGTCCACACCAATTCGCCTTCTGTCCAGGCGGAACCAATGAATCCGCTCACCGAAACAGTATCGTTTACAAACCGCTCTCAGGGTGGTCGGGAGCCGATTCGGCTCCTGGGGTGGTTAACTGAGGATTCGTCCGGCTCACATTGAATCCGGGTAAAAGGATATGAGGTGTCATAAATGTCCGGAGTGTCCTTTTCTTGACGTTACTCAGGACTAAAAGATTAATTACATTTTACAATTGCAAGTTTTGAGCGTGTTAAATAGAGTGATTTTACTTAACCATTTAAGATGATAGTAGACTAATAGGCAGTGTCATGCTCTAATTTCATTGTTTTCTTTTGTTTACATGTAAATTTTTGGCACTAATTGTTAAATACTGTTTTGCGTGTTGAGTGAAATCACTTTAGTATATTAATGGGGTATTTTCAGATCTTAACTGATCGTTGCGTAAATCAAGTTCAAGAAAGAATGATCTAGCTCATTCTCTCTTACCAAGTTCTAGGGAATTTAGGATGTGATTTTTGGGGCGCATTTTAAATAAAGCCATACTGTTTAAATACAAGAAAGAGCCAAGCAAATACCGTTTCAAAGACACTCTGCAATTAACTAGATGATGCATTGAGACCAACCCTGAAATAAAGAAATCTCTAGAGAAAGCCGTTTGTTGAGGCACTTACCATTGTATTTATTAAGTGATAGCACTGCCTACAACAGTCAGGGAAGGTACTGTAGCCACAACTTTTTTTCCAGTAGGCCAGTTAAAACATTCAAAATCTGAGGTTATAACCAGGAATCTGATCACAAACTGATTCTATAGCTGGCGCTGCAAAGCCAGCATAATGGGACTCTCTTTCAATTGAGATCAAGGTACAGCAGTACTTCGAGGAAACTTTGAAGCTGGAAATTCTGATCATTAAACCTCGCTGTGACGGCGGTCGTCGGTCAACATTCGAGGGTAACAGTGCACTGTTACCCTCTGACGTCATAGATTTTGCAATGTTGCCTGCTCAGAGATTTTGGCGGGAAAAAGTTTCATTGTTAGATGTCATGTGACATAAAAGTAACCTATGAGAGAGCGCACTTTTACAAAAAATTTCCAGCTATATAACCATACTGTTTATCTGCACGTGTCTGTACAAATAGGTATGAAGTTTCGTCATAATCGGTAACGTAACTTTTGATCACTTTTGATTAATGTAAGTTGACTAGCATAGGAAACGTCAAGTTTAAATAAAAACGTGAAAGTTCACAATATTTATCACCGCTGTTAGTGTTTTAGTTTTGACTATTAAATTTAACTGAAAAAGTAGAGTGGTAATTAATCAGCGCGCAAATGATTCGTAGAGTCACCCCAGTTATCGTCGTTGTGCATGGTGCAGCCTTCTAGCTAATAATATATCCGAACAAATCGAGGGTCTCCCCAAGTTCAAATGAAGTTTCGAGAAGTTGAACTGTTCACAATTAACCAAATGGTCCTTCCAAAGTGCACTGTCTCCATAGGCCCAATAGAACTTTTTACCGATACGGCGGCCATATTGAATTAATTGGATTTAAGGAGTATTATGGGATGCCCAGGGGGCATGAGTACGATCTCATATACTCGCATCAGTATTTACGCGCGCTTTTCGGGCCAATTTTTCTTCAAGTTTTCCTAGAAAAAGTTTGTAATGAGAAAAAAAGATCTTTGTGCTGTCTTTGAATATAATAACGATCGCCTTTTTCCCGAGAAATATACGTTGAAGTTCCCTCTTTGCCCGAAAAGGGCGCGTATATGCTGAACGAGTGCCCCCTAGGCATCCCATAATACTCCTTAAATCTAATTAATTCAATATGGCCGCCGTATCGGTAAAAAGGTCAATTCTCTTAAATATATTCTTGTGAGAGATTTTGAGATGGTAAAGAGAATTTGGTCCTTGACCGAGATAAGGCCCCATGAAGCAGGTGGAAAAAACGAAGGGTTGTGCAGGCATTAGGTGGTTGAAGATAAAACCGTTTGCAAAATGAAACTAAAGGGAAAAAGTTTAAACCATCGGCCCTGAAACGGATGGTATTTTCGATTTCTCAGTATGGCGCAGAACACTGTATCATTTTCTCCTCTTTGGTGTTTTGTTCAATCTCACCTATGAAAGTACATGCCCAACTTGAAGGCTTGTTGCTGCGTTTTTCATACAGTGGAACATACAGGGGCGGATCTAGGGGGAGGGTGCAGGGGGTGCGCACCCCCCCTGAAATGACCTGCGGCTTTCTAATTAACACTGTGGAGTCTGCTTCACAGTTATACAAAATCTGCTTTATCATTTGGTATGTATTCTCAGCAGTTCACATTATGTTATTGCCTAGTCGAAAGCCTTCTTCTTCGTATTCGCTATTAAAATTTGTTTACGTCACCAGTCAATTACGCCATTCCTTAGTAGTGCACCCTCTCCTACGAAAAATACTAGATCCGCCTCTACATATATGTTCGATATAACGAGGGGCAGAGGGACTTGCAAAAATTTGTCTGCTCTAACGAGGTTTCTTTACATTGAGGTTCTAGCTTTTTCATATGTTTTACTATTACTGGGGTAACAGAGAAAATCGTTCGTTAAATCCAGATTCCATTGTATCAGTCTTCAGATAGATATAGAGAATTGCAGTAAAATTGCCATAGAAAATTGGTGAAATGAAAAACGTAAAAGGCCAGATACCAATGGATTATAGTTACTATTAATCCACTATTTGAGTGAATTCATTGCAGCATACGGGTACAGCCATAGCCTGCGTGGCAGGCGTTCGAAAGGGAAGGGGCAGGGAATTAGGGCGCGAGACCACTCGCGCCTAAAACTCCCTTTCCCATCCCTTTCAAACGCCTGCCACGCAAGCTAGTACAACCGTCGCATTTGCATTTGTTTACACTCCTCAAAACAACCTATGCTGCAAATGAATGCACCCCTTGGTGGTGTATATTGTTTTGACCAGAAGAGAGAACGAAGACATCCCCCTGTAACATACCCGTAATGAAACTCTACCCAGTGTTTTTATTCAGTCTACCCAGTGATTATTTAGCCTCCACGATACGTGGCAGGCTAATTTGCTGCTTCCAGGTCACTTTTTGTGACTTCGATACAAAACCAGCGTATTTTGTTATTCCCATTAATTTAAAAGAAGCAAAAATATTAAACATTAGTTCTATTGACAACAAAAATCGGAGGGTACCGGTACTTTTCGACTTGAAACTTTGCATGCAGTAAATACTTCTTTAAAAAATGTTCTTATCAGTTGTCATTAATCGGGCTTTTCCAAAATTATTTGTTTTGCGTGAACTATAACGTTTTTGAGAGTGGGACTGGGTCGAGGAGAAAACATTTGATAATTGCATAGGAATAAAATATTTTGCAATTCTCCGTTTAATTTGACTCATTTGACTTTAAACTAAACACTATGGAAAAATAAACGGAAGCTTCAACAGTCATTTTCATGGCGTAATCTGAAAATGCTAAATTTTGCACAGTTATGGGCGTGGCTCGTCACGTGACCTTAACAGGCACAGTGTGAGGTCCAAAAATTTTTCCAATCTTATAAGCACATAATGTTAAAAGTAATAATGACAAGAGACGGCAGACAAAACAAGAAAAAATGATAAAGCCCAAAATGGAGCGAGGAGTCAACGTCAAAAAAGCAATAGGTTTAATAACCAAAACAACAATTTTGCACGTGCATCACGCTTTTTTGTACATTTCTTTGCCGACGCTGCACGACTACGACGTGAAAATGCCTAATTTCACGTTTTACAGAGGAGGTACACAAGTAACGACAAAATTTCTTCTCTCTTTCTGAACTTAGATATGGTTCTTAGGAATTCAATTGTAGGAGGGTTCACCTTCATTTGACAAAGTTAGTGACTTGGAGTAATCGCGATGAAGATTGAAAGAACGCGAATTGACTTTTTCAGCGACGTTTTCCTGCCATCGCCGTCCTCGGATCTTAAGGTCCCTATTCACTCGAGGGAGGAGGGGAAGAAGGTTACCACACTACTGCGTCGTTGGTCGCCCAGAGGACTGGGCACACCGGAAGTGAAGATTGCGTCGGTCCCAGTTCCCGCTTTCACGGTGCTCCTGGTTCAGCCATCTTCTGCTGCTTCAGAGAGAGTTTTTAGCATACTCTCAGCCTCGTTCAATGACCAGCCGGAGAGTGCACTGTCAGAATACTTACAAGCAAGTGTGATGCTGCAATATAATAAGCGCTAAGCTATATCAGAACATAGTAAATGTGATATTAACATCGTACATTTTGACACATTAAGTCACCGCTTCTAGTCTGAAATGAAGTGCAGTAGTTAGTTGTGTTTTATCAGAGCAAGTGTGTAACTCCAGATAAACAAAATATGATGTTTTATTAACAATAAATATATGATTTTGGTTTTTGCACTAGTTTTGTGTTTTTTACTTTTAAGCATACATTAAGAAAAAGCAGCATAATTATCAAAAAGGAGCATAATTTTGAGCGATTTTGAGCATGATTTGGAAAAAAGTCGGGCACTGCTAGTAGCATAATATGCTACTTTTACTAGCACAATCAATAAGGGCCTATGTGGGCGTGGCTCCAACTCATTTACACCCCTTATGTTCACTTAGCTTTTCTAGAAAATATTAAATCTGATTAACTCGCGCTGATAGTGTTTGATAGTAATAAGGCAATTCAATTGTCTGAGTAGCCTGTAAAGTTCCCCTCTACGGCTCAATATCCTGAAAGAGTCCCCTTAAGTTCACGGCGCCACACGGTCTAACGCCAGTCATTTTAGGATTACGCACCCACACTTCCCCCCACCTGGATTAACCTCCCGATATAAGGAGGGTGCTCGTCGTATCTTAAAATGCTGGGGTTGTACATGCCCTATCTGCTAACGGCGCCAGAAGTCCAACGCCGGTCATTTTAGAATTCTTCTCCCTCCCCCGCCTGGGTTAACCTTAAAGGGGGGGTAGGGGCGGGGTACTCGTCGTATCTTAACTGATGCTGGGTTACACATGCCCTATTCTCGAATTTTCATTTCTGCCTACTCCTTACTCAATATGAACTAAACTGGTTAACGCATTCAACCAGTTCTTGGAAAGTGTGGGTTCAGAATATACGTCGTTCTTAAATTTCATGACTTGGATAGTATGCTTGTGTATTCATATTCGAGTCAGTATTTCACTTCTCGAATGTTATATGTCGCTGTGTCGCCGTAAAACGTCATTACGCTTACGATAGTGCCCGTCAATCATAACCGGCGACTTTCTGCACGCTCGTTTGGTTTCCGGGCAATATATAATCTCATCATGAGTATGTAAAACGCAGGAAACGTGAATGTGAGATCAGAGATTGGCTCGGAAGTTTTATTTTCAATATTTGACTCAACATGCTTACTTAAAAGTTTTAAAATCACTTTTCAGTAATATCAGATTATTTCCGAGCAATGCCGGACGGTTCAAAAACTGTTGCTCATATATACAGGAATTAACGTTGTAGGAAGTCTTTTTGCATTCCCCTAGGCCACCCAGCCTGATAATTAAGCCCCCTGACCCTCTCCCGCAGAAAGAAAAAGGCAAAAATTGCTTTTATGTCTGTAGCAATTCCTTGGCAAAATACTTGAAAATACTGTAACAATGTCCAACTAGTCCCATATTTATAACATATTGCATCTCAAGGTTAAAATACACAGAAGACTGTGTCGCTGACAATGTCGAGAACGCACATTGGAATTAATTGCCCCCACGTTCTCTCCTCCTGATCAAAGGAAACAGTCACGTGTGTTGATTAAAAAAGAGAACTCGGTGTTATAAAAACAAAACTCTGGAGGCACTCCTATTAACGTGAATTTATTTTAGGTTATTTTTGATCAGCACATAAATACCGAAACTTGTACGTACTTTCCGAAAGTACAGTAATTTTATTGGACTCCGGGAGTATCGGAAGTGACATACAATACCGAAGAGTAGCTGATCGCCTTAATTTCAATGAACCGGTAAAATACTTAAACTTAAGCTTCTTTAATTTAGTTATTCTTCCCCGCTGCTTGCAGTGTTAAACAGCATTAATGTCCTTTTAGTATCCAAAATGCATATAACTATACAAATCCAAAGTTCAAGAGATTTTGAAGTACAAAGTACAAGATATTCCTCGCAATGTCAGAAGCGATCTCAGCCTGTTCGACTGAATTTAATTTGTTTCCGATACTTTTACAGAACACACAAAAACAAAAGGTTTTTTTTGACTTGACAACAAAGTTGGATCGAAGTGTTCACAAGGTGTTGCAAAATATAATCCTTTTTATGCCTCACCAAGTGCGTCAGCTCCTGCGGTCATCTGAGTGTGACAACATTAGCTAGTTGCAACAACATTCATAACAAGCAAATATAACACGCAAACATGGGCCAATATTGTAAATTTAAGTTTCTAAATAAATGGTTTCCTAAAAAATATCTGTATTAGTCTTGCCTTTAGTGCTCTGCTTTATATCCTTCTCTGTCACTGACAATACTGCCATGGTAACGTCAACGTCACCAGACAATACTGAAGCTTGGTTGGTAAGCCATTATAATGCATTATAAAAGGAGACTGAAACATCGAACAGCTATGAAATATACATGATGCCGGTAGGGCTTTCCTGAAACGACCTTTGTTGAGTAGATAGGCAATTCGTTTCGACATGTCGGGTCAGTCAATGTGGAATAGGAAGAACTCTTTCGCCATCTCGTCTCACGCAGCAAAGAAAAATATCCCTCAACAAGAAGATAATACTCCAAGTCGAAAGGTAAGTATTTCACTGTGATTTTCATCTGACATCCGGCTGAAGTTGCGATATTTTACAACTGTGGCTCACGCAATTTATCGGAGCGAAGAGAAACCAGGGGTCTAAATGGATACTCCACTTGGCATTTCTGCTCGTTCGTCTTCTTCGAAGGCAGAATAAATTGTAATTCAGCAGAATCGACAAGGAACTTCTTAACCTAGCTACACCGGTAATCTAGCTTTCATTCACACGTGTTAAAACTACCCGGTTATTATTCTTTGGAAAAAAATTCGAATCCGCGAAATGACCCAAAGGCGTTTTATATACCTGTTTAAGTCCAATGCCGTGACGATGGGTGACATATAAAGTGCTATTTGAAGATAATTTTAAAGTTGATCTACTAAGGGGAAGAGTAACAGTTTCGAGAACTCGAACTAAAGTTAAACAGGAAATGTAAAAATGTATGGGAAATATATTTTATCGCGGCGAGAAATGAACATGGCATATGAAGATAACATGGTGTTATTCTCTCGCCTTGAAACATCTCTGAAGCCTATTCCATCACCACACTCACTCAAGGGTTTGAAGTTTATGTAGCCTAACTGTGTATTTTATGTGCATTATTTTATTTCAGTATATTCGGCCGCAGTATTCGCATCGCTCACTATCGAGAAGTAGTTCAATCGACAGTACAACAGGTTTGTGTTGTCAACAATTTATTTTAAAAAGTTGCAGTGCGATTATGAAAACATGGCTAAGTGAGTTTTACTCCAACATGAGCCTTAAGATAGTTGTCGTGGTTGTATAATCCTTTTATACTGTTGGTCGCCTAAACAGTTAACCCGGCAATTTTTCAGACATATTGGGAATCGACCCGCAACTCATAACAAGCTTAGCCGCAGTTTACTTCTGAATTCAATTAACCTGACATGTCAACATAATTTTTCAAATATCACCAAAAATTTAACACCTAAAACTCTGTAATATTTTCCCTGAATTTATATTCATTGTGCTCATCTGGCTTTATCAAAGAAATTATTTGACGAATATCGTAGGCACTTTATGCAAATGTCCTGTTTCTTTATATTGCGTGACCTTTTCAAGAAGCAGTTCGAAGCAGTTGTGTCATGATGGCAAAATGGCGTGGAACGGAAAATAGTCATTAGTAGGAGTCTGAATTAATCTATTTAATTTTCTAAACAAACAGATTATTCTGAGTTCTGGCCTAAAGCAATCTTACTCTTTGAAATTTTATATCGTCCTCTAACTTTCTCAAATGCTGAAATGCCAACAATATTTACAGTTGTAAGTTGTATTTTCCGATCCTTCTTTAAAGTGATCAAACTTGTATATTAGGTTACTATTTTATTTTATTATTAGTATATATATATATATATTTCTAAAAAAATGTTTAATATTGTTTCAGCTTCTAGTTAATTGCGATGTCGGCGCGTTCGTAACATTTCAACAACTTTCACGAACGAAAACGCGTCTACGGAATTCTGGGTTTTGGAACCAGTTTTATTTATGATCTTAATCTTGAACACAAAATGACTTGTTTCCATTGAACTACCTTCTCGCCTCTTGATTTATATATTTACTAGTTTTAAATTTTATTTTAACCCATGTATCTCTACAAATAAACTGCATTCCTAATACAAGCGATCAGAAATTGATCTGTTGCGTGACTTGAACAATTTGGGCATTTACCTTGGTGCCCGAATCAAAACAATAATTTTCGTTGCATGGGGGGTCGTAGTGTGTGGCTTTTGAAACTAGCACAGACCATTCCCCATAGCACCCCTTTTTTTTTCTGTTAAGAAATTTTGATTATTTTCGTTTTATGTTATTGTTCCGTTACAAACCACCGGCAGAAGTATTTGTTGTCGCTGTGGCACACAGGCCAGGTGTTTTTGATAAGATATTCTTGTTCACAACCAAGAACGAAACCTCAGGCGAACTTTTATTATATTCCAAGCGATACAGATCGCATATCTAACCGTAACATGTCACCGCAAAGATGAGATAGATCGACAGCGAATGCTAAATGCGAACAGAAACTTAACTGGGTTGTCACGCTTCCGTGCAAGTGGCACAAGGCAGATTACACAACGTTGTTCTTTCTAACCTTGGTCTCAAGATCATTTGTATCCTATTGTCCTCTTCTTTTATTTCTGCCTGACAATGCGTGACCAGTCTGTTCTTTGTCACGCTTTCACATGGATATCACGTGCGTTGCTCTGTATGGTGTGACATTATGTAACTTTATTACATGACCTGTCTGTGGCACGTGTTTATGATACATTGCAACGTCATTGCGTGTACTTTGGTCAAGAGGGTTATATTGACATATGAAGGGTTAATCGACCTTTCATTAACCAATGCCTGTAATAAATCTTGAACGGTACTTTGCATTTTCTCACCTGGAAATTGCTGCGCTTGATGAGGATATAAAAATAAATTCATTGGAGTCGAACATAACAAAATCTAAGGCTAGAACATTTGTTTAAAAGTTTTATTCAAACAATGATGCGTGCAGATAATTGCCATGTATTCACAGCAATATAACTATGACGCCACTATTTCACCTTATTGGCACCAGCGCAAACTGTATTGGGAAGCATTAGCCACTATCATCAGTGCTATAGAGGCACCATGCCAATATAGGCATTTGCAGTGAGCGAATACATAAGAACCTCTTTTCTCTGATATGAATGAACTCTTTGGATTCAGTGCTAATCCAAAAACAACACGTGAAAAAAAGAAAAGAAAAGAAGCTCAAAAAGAAAGGAGAAGAAAGTAAAAAGGACACAAAGTGACACCGATAAAACAAATCGCGAACACGGCGTCGAAACTTCTGTTGAGAACAGTACGGAATGACGGAATGAAGATTTCTTTTTTCTTACTGGAGCACCTCGAGCAATTTTTCCATTGACCCTGAGAAAAGGTGCTTAGTATTACAGTAAATTAAAGAGAGAATAGATACAGTTGCTTTCCACAAACTTTTACAGATTAACTGTGCGCATATATGCAGTTTTAAAGTTTTTGATTCTCTGGACAAAATCCTGTGGTATCATCATTCATTTAAACTCAATGGAAGGATTTTTAAGTGGCCTTTTATTTTATTTTCATTATTTTATATTTAGTAAATTAATGGGGCATTTTTCCCCCTAGAATTTCAGTAGTATTTGATTTTCTGTGGGGCAAAAAAAAAACTAAATAGGTACCTCAAAATCAGGTTTATTGCAAAAGACTGGAATCTACATTCGAATTAAAAAAGGTCTATTCGTAGACTGATGTATTTTTCGATTCTAGTACTACTTTGGAAACATGACTTTGAAATATTTATCTACAACCGTAAGTTGACCATCATAACTTTCTAGTGTAAAAAATATATATTATTTTTTCCTGACATTTTCCTTTATTCTGTATGTATCATTTACGACAACTCTACTCTAAACACTTACATGGCGGCAGAAATGTGTTAACAGCAAAGGAAAGCGGATTTAGTTTGGACAGCAGAGCTTTAATAGGAATTCTTTCGAAAGTCAATATATATATACATTTAATCAGTATTAAAGCAGACTACGGTATTCCCTCATTTCTGGCTAAGTGTTGTCGGCGCTTGGTATTGTAACGACTTTCAAAAATTGCGTCACTTGTATGCTTGTATGTATTGATTTAACAGCTATTTGTTATTGATATTATAACGCTTCTCGAAAACTCAGACTCTTAAGAATTTTAACACTGAATTGGAAATTGTAAGGCTTACGTAAAAGATGCAGCATTCTCGTGACAACTCTAAGTTTATCGCTGCTGCATATAGTACATTGGAAACAAAATAGACATGATATTTCCCTGCTAGAGACCTCTGCTAGCAGGGCAACATGATAAGCATGCGCAAGTGAAATATTTTAGCCAGTTAAAGTGGTGACGTAGCCTGTGTACAGCAAGATTTTTTTGAGGGGAGGGGCGGCTGTACACAGGCTAGTGGTGACGGGGCAAAGAAAATGTAGCAGCAAAGAACCCTGTGAGGTCGCCCCCTCTCTTTTTCCTCTCGCTCTTCATTTCACGCCACTCTCCACTACATGAACAGGGGCACCCAACAACTGTTTTCACTGTAAAATATCTGTTCGGAGAAGCCAAAATTACCTAGAATTTCCTATAGCTTGAGGAAGGCTAAAAATTTCTGGACTACCGTTGTATTCACGTACAATTTTCGAAGCTTATCTAATAAATTTCCTAGGAATTTCTGAAGTTTAATTTTTCGCATTTCACTCCCCAGGTTAAGCTATTTTTTGTCGAAAAAGGAACCCTAAATCTTTCGGATTCGAAAATGCGATGGAGAGAGGAATCAGAAAAAATTCCTAACTTGGTAAAACCTTAAATTGCATCTAAAATTTTCGGGAAAATAATACTGAAGCTCATATAATTTGGAAAAGACTCAAGTTGTCTTAGGATGATCGAATAGATAAAAATTTTATAGCGCTGCTTAGAATGCATTTCTAGAGATCTCGGCTAAAAGTACTCTGGATAGACTAAAAAGGGTTTTTAATGCATTTAGGAGGAAACCGTCGTTCGGTGCCCCTGTCTGAAGCCCTAGAACAAGCAACTTTTATCTTGACTTGCAGTTTGGAGCAGTCCTGCATTCGGAGGCAAAGAGTTGATGCAAAGTATCACAGATTTAGAATAGCATATTTGAAGAAAATTTCGACCAATAAATAGCGATCAGGCTGCAACCCCTTTTTCCGTGGCAGAGGTCAAGATGCGCCTCTAAATTTTAGTGCTGAAATATTTAAAAACTGTGTCCTTCCACTGAAGCGAGCATTTTATATTAGCATTATTTCTGAGTCACTGTTTTTTATGCTGACGTACAAGTAACCTTAAAATCGTAATTGTAAATGATATCGAAAACTGTACTTAATTCCTCAAGTTGGACGATCTTCACTGATAAGTAAATTCAAACTTTTATAAAAATCCTTTAACTTGAAGCCGACTCACTAGAAGTTTTTGATCTTCCTAAATTTGGGCTTTTCAATATTTCTTAAGTGGAATTTGTCTTTCGGACTTTGAAAAGGCGTCATTAGTTACGTAATACATAAGTATTCATATTGCTTTTCAAGCACTCGCTTATACGGAGATATTGCACACACACTGTGACCTTATTTATCGACGTTTAGGCAGATTATTTCTTGCCATAGTTCTCTAACACACAAAATTAATCCAAGAGCCGCACAAAAAATGAGCTCTCTGATTTTACTTTTTGCGGCGAGTTCGAAATTTTCTACGCGCGAATGTCCTTTTACGCCAATTCAGAAATACTTGCGTGTGATGGCTGATTTGTTTGATATTTCTCGGCGGCGGAAATCTGCGACGCTATGGCGCAGTTACACTTAGGCCCGGTTCAGACGCCACTCCACTCATGTGCTGAATCTAACTGATGAATTAAGTACGGCAAAAGAGTGGTGTCTGAATCAATTTGCTACGGCAGTTTTAGTTAGGTGCGGTAAAAGCGTTTGGTGCGGCAAAAGTTCGACAGGGTCTGTCGTTGTCGAACTTAACTTATGCTCGACACACGGTGCGCCGTCCGAATCAGATATCGCGCCAGTGTCGCTCTAAAGTCGAACTTATTCTGTTAGGTTCGGCACAGGAAAAGTACGGCGTCTGAACCAGGCCTGGCTTGTTCCTCCGCACCAGGGACGCACGTATAAGCATAAACATAACATGGTCTTACTAGTGACGCAGGCATAAGCATATAAGGATGAGGATAAGGCCGAAACTTATGCTCGCCCCACATAAGGGTCTCCATGACAGTCGTTGATTCTGGATTCCACGCCTTGGATTCCGAATTTAAGGTACTGGATTCCAGTCTTTGTCGGTTGAACTTAGACCCTGTATTCCAATCTTTAGTGGGATTCCGGATTCCTTGAGCTGTATTCCGCATTCCAAAGCTCATGATTCCCCATTCCCTGAAAAGTGGGCGATTTTTCGCCAGCGAGGACGGCCCTGACATAAGCAAATGTATAAACACAAAAATATCAAAAGCTTGCGTTCTTTTAATGCTTATGTTTATCCGGCCCTCCTCATTTTTAATAGCGCATAAGCTTGTTTGCGTCGCTTGTGAGGACAAAGCAAGCATAAGCTATTGTCAGTTTTCGGCGGTAGAATTTCAGACTACGATTTGTCCCTTATTTTTCTCAGGAATCTGTAATGGGCGAAATAAGCGGACGCGCGTGAAAATCGCTATGTGCTCACGAAAAGACATGTGCTCCTTCTCCGCGCGTGTGACGATTTCATCGCAGGCGCGCACGCCGAGCTCGACAACGTCAAGAATGCTAATCCAGCTCGCTTTGTCCTAAAAAAACGCTACCGCTTTCGTTGAAGGCTACAAAATTATCATCTTTAACGAAACAACCAGTGGCACAATGAGCAAGGATCTGAAAATAAATGTAAAGAACCTTGTTATTTAAGACAAACAAATCTAAAAGAAAAGAATTCTAATAATTTACGGTAAATTATTTAAACAGCAAGTGCGCTATAAAAAGACGCTTCTCCACCGGAGAAACTCTGGCGGGCTCCTTTGATGCGCAGTTCGCGAAAGATATGCAAAGTCAAAGTGAATATTTCTCCTCTCTGGCGTACTTCAATTTTAATTTTTGCATTTTCTTCAGGCTGAGAAAAAAAAGTTGTTTTCAGAGTGTTTTTTTAGCCTGAACGGCAGGTGTAGAAGGGGTAGGGGGATCCGGAGGAAGGGGAAAAGGGAGGGGGCCGGGGGTTGGGAAAAGAGGGCCTTTTCCCTTGTAATATTTCCGTTTCGCGCTTTTCTCTCCCTCTCCCCTCCTTTTTTCTGGCCTGCTTCCTTTGGCAGACTTTATTTAACCTCGGTTAGTAACGACTGTAAAGCAGCGCCGATATCCTTGTTCTGGCCCGCCAACGGACTCAACGAATAACCGGAAATGCGTTTCGAATCTCCCTTCAAGCTGATTGGCAAATAGGCAATGGCTCTTTTAACAGGCCATTCATGGCGAGTACTCAAATCCTGGTACACAGGTGGGGCCTAGAACAAGGATTTCGGCGCTGTTTCGCAGACGGACTTAACCAGAGTTTAGTTTCGTCCGTGGCGCAGG